TTCTAGGTAACAGAAATTAAAAAGTATTTTCAGGAACCTTGTAGCGATGTTTCCCTCCGGGTCACGCAGTGGCTTTCGCGGTGCATGGGCCGCTTGCTCGGAAGGCTTTGAAGCTTTAGGGAACCTGGGAAAAGGATCTGTTGTAGGACAGTTGTGTCACAGTGAGGTCCTGTAAGGGTTGTCCTGGGAGGCTCGACCCTCCCTAGCCTTCAGGCCAGAGGCCTGTTTCCAAGGCTTGAGCGCACATCTTTATGGTCCGCTGCGCTCTGGCCGGCTTAGGGCTTCTGATCTAGGGCTCAGGGTTTAAGAGTTCAGGATTTAGGGTCTAGGATTGAGGTTTAAGGTTTAGAGTTTTCAGTTTAGGATTTAAAGTTTAGGGGATTTAGGGTTAAAGGTTCAGGTTTGTCAAATTGTGTTCCAATAATGGATTATCAGATGAAACATGACATGGAAGGTACCATCTAGAATTCAACAATAGACGGACAATAAAATATAAGCTACTATTTAGGCTCTTGGGGTTCAGCTTTTTCTCTACACTCAATATGAGGGGCGGAATCTACCAGGGACCTACAAAGCGCCAATCATCCTGACACCCTACCACGTTGGAATCCCTTTATAACTGAGATGTACAGGGCTTAGGGTAGGGACTCTGGCTAGAAGCACCACAGATTGCAGAGTATCTGAAAAACTCTGCCAAGTTTTCACTTCGGGGAATGCACGTAGAAGTGGTCGCCCAGAATTCATCAAACAAATGTGGAAAATCTGGAGGGTCACGCTGGCACTGTGGTTTCACACGCAAGCAGGCTTCCGGCATGGCAGGCATGGCAGTTAGGGCAGGCAGCAACGGAACAGTCAATGGCGCGAACCCTGAGCTAAGGGGATTAACAATTTCAATCAGAACCCCTTGCGCCTTGACTAACGCGTTTGGACCAGTGGGGCGTGCTTTGGACCAATCGGACGTGCTTTGGACAATTGGGGGGTTTCTTTGGACTCATGGGGCGAACCCTGAAATCTGAATCAGGACCCCTCACGCCTTTGGACTCCTGGGTCGTGCTTTGGGACTTATGCGGCGTACCCTGGGCTAATCTGGCCGTGCTTGGACTACTGGGCATATAAACCCTGAATCCCAAGCCTAACCTCTCTGCTTCACAGAGCTGCGGTACAGGCATTTCTCAGCATAGGCTTAGAGTCCCCCTTATGTAGATAAAATAAGGCTTTGGGCAGATTCTAACAAGATCCCCATATACCCAATATTCTATCTACTTAAGGGGCACTATCACGTTTAGTCTTGTGCTCAGACTAGAGGATCCTCATAAAAAGCCCAATCATCACCTTCTAACCTCCAGGTATCCCGCGGGTCCCTAATGGCCACTGCTTTGAGAAACTCCTGCCCCCCCTTAGAGGGCTCTTCCTAATTCAAGCACCTCCCTAAACCCTCAAACCCAAAATGCCCAAACCCTAAGCCGTAAATCTCTCAACCCGAAACCCTAGACTTCCCGCCCCTAAACCCTAAACCCTGCGCCTGCGGGGGCTTCTTAGGGGTCAGGGGGACTTAGTAAGTAGGCTAATCATAGGTTTGTGTGTGTTTGTGTGTGTGTTTTTTGGCGGGCCCTCTTCCGACTGCAGTTGCAACAGAACAGGTTTAGGGTTTAGCGCTTAGGGTGTCATGGGGACAACTGGGCTTATTAAATGGCTTCTAGGGCCTTTGTAGTACCCTAAACCCTAAACCCTATCCCCTGCTAAGTCCGCCTGACCCTACAAGTTCTGAGCTTCCAACACTGCAGCAGGGCGCGTCAAAGCCAGGCGTGCATTCCACGACCTGCGGGGCTTGTTGAGTGTTTAGGGTTTAAAGTTCAGGGTTTAGGGTATAATAAAGGTGTAGGATTTAGGGTTTAGGGGTTTGGGGGTTTAGGGTTTAGGGCTTAGGGTTTTGGGCGCCAACCCCCATACATGCAGGAATTAAAGATTGGAGACCGAGTTTAGGGTCTAGGATTTAGGGGGTTTGGCGGTCTGCATTTAGGGTTTAGGGATATTACTCCAATAAGAATGGAGAACCAAGTCGAATGCAATGGAAGCTGGGTTTACACAGGTCTTATTTGAAGCAAGGCCAAATAATTATACATATAATTTGGAAGTCTATTGAGATGCCTTATGCTAGAAGTATGCAAGGAAGTAGGAGCATGATGTGGGTAAGTGTCCAGTCACATATACTACAGGGTTAACGTCTAGGGTAGCACGTGGAGGAATGTAGAAGAACATGGACACTACGGCATCCTTCGGGAGTATGTGGGGGCTACCCTAAGAACTAAACCCTAAATCCTAAACCCCAAACCCTGCTGGAAGGATCTATAACTCCATTCCCCACTTGCAGTCAGTCAGGAAAGGAATCCAAAAGCTAGATCTCCTAGGAGAACATGGGGTATTATACAAGGAACATATATGGGCCATTATGGGTCTCTAGCCCAAACCCGAAGCAAACCTAAGCCCATTCCTAGACGCTCAACCCTACATCCTGAACCAGAAGTGAGCTTGGCTACTCCTCCGCAGTGCTTCAAATCGGATCTTAGCGGGCGAACAAAGCTCCTACGGCTCCTTTGGGGGGTTCCTCCGCCTGACAGAAGGGAGGCTTGCGCGTGCATCCCTCTTGCAGGTGACTCGCGCGTAATTGGGCTTAGGGTTTTGGGATTTAGGGTTTAGGGTTTAGGGATTTAGGGTTTAGGGTTTAGGGATTTAGGGTTTAGGGTTTAGGGTTTAGGGCTTCTGTTGCAAGCTATGTCATGCCTGCTGGGCTTTGAGCTGGTCGTGGGACCACGGCACACGCTGCCAACGTACAAAGGCCGGGTCCTCTCTGGCACGGACTACAGTCAGGCCAGCTGATCCGCTTCCTGAGTCCTTCGCGAACAAGCGCGATGCAGAACGCACTGCCTCCTGCGGCGATGGATCCCGAACGTGGCAGCGCAGGAAACCCTGCTGCTCCAAAAGCAGACGATCTGCAAACGAAGAAGGCTTCATGGTTGCTATGTCTTGGGATTTATGGAGCCGTAAATGGGAGCTTCAAACCTCTAAAGACGGGGGCTAAGGTTTAGGGTTATACATAGGGTGCATAGTGAGGACACACGCCTTAGGGATATCATCCCGAGAATGGAGTCAAATGGGATATGAAATGGAAGCTTGGACGATATGGAAGCTTGGACGAT